AAGTTATCCTTCATTCTTGGTAATATTTATATGAGCCAACTGCAAACCATAAAAACAGATCAAATCTATGTGCCAAAGTACATTTTAAATATCCATCCTCACAGGAATTTTATATATAGAAATATTACCTGTTACAATATTTCAGTAAGTGACCATGTATAAGAATAGCCAGTTGCAGGGCCCAGTTTTTCCTTTCTGCTAACTTTGATATTCACTTTTTAAAAAATGACTTACTAAATCTCAACCAAAGAACTTTCTAAGTCAAATCATTTTAACTTTTATTAAGCTTGCAAAGGTATTTTTAAGCATCCTTTTATTAATCTGAATGCAAAACTATAGGGAAACTAATCTCTAATTTAGCTAGAAGATAACATTCATTTTTCTGGTACGGTCTAGTGACAACAGCATGTTAACACACATGGCTTGCTACCTATGACTACAATAGTGGAACCAAAATGAAATGAGCAGATGCTGACTTACCTTCTCTGGTGAGTCATGCAGAACACAAAACCACAATCCAGAAACAAACCAGACCATCTGTGCTGTTTTCTCCAGATGAGCCAAATTTGGTGACACACAAAAGAATTTGGTCCATACAAAAAATGTTTCTTTCTTTTCATTTTTCTATTTTAAGTGAGAAAGTATAGTTTCTCCAGTAGAAAATGCAGAAATGTATTTTGCCTCTTGTACTATATTACCTACATATTTTGATCCTGAACCTAAAGTAGTCAAGAAATTAAATTATAACTTCAAAGGAGATTTATCTTTCCAAAACTTCTATCCCCTCAATTATTCCCCCATCCACACCCAAGTTGTTCTGGGAAATAGGATGTTTTCTAGAAAGGCACTTCTGTCTGCATTTTTGAGAAAATTCCTTCCACTGTGTGACAGTGTTCATGTACAATGCTGATGTATGCTAGAACTGCTTGGTAATATTTTTCTTGGATAATCAAGTCATCAGTAAAACCTATATCCCATATAATCCAACACCTCGCATAGAAGTAGCGATCAAAATAATGTTTGCTCATTGAATGTTGGATAAATCTTGGCACCAAAGTGCCCCAGTTGTCAGAATCCCCTTGTAAGTATCGAGGGTCAAGGATCAGCTCCGCACAGTCAGTGAGATAACACACTCTCCTTAGTAGAAAGGGAAATGAAAACATCTCTCTTTGGAAACAGCAAAATGTAATTTCTCACAAATCTAACCTTATAAATAAATTTATGATTACTATGATATATCTTCAAATAATTACTTATTAAAATACGTAAAAGATTAGCTTGCCAGATGGCTTTAAGAAAAGCATTTGTAAGTAAGAGGTGATAATAAATGGCTTTGTGCTGTGGGGACGAAGGTGAGTCAGACACTTGAACAGGAGTGTGAATAACCTGGAGTCATGCTCTTACAGCTGTGACATAATAACACACAGGAGGGCAGAGGCCACCGGGAGCTCAGAATAGGCTTCCGTGTATGTCAACAGCTATCACACATGTTCTCAGTTTCCAGGCTGGAAAGAATGAGGCAGTAGGATTCACTTAACCAGTCACAGCTTGCGTGGAAAAATATTGATACAGGTGAAGTTTATCCCTGACACTATATAAGCTGGCATTATCTGTTAAGCTGCCTCTTGTATGCTTTTTCATGATCCCCAATGACCACGATGGTCCCCGCTTGTGATCATCAGCAAAGTGGGACATTTTATTTCTCAGAAGTACTAGACACGGCAGTGCGAACGCTCTGACTTCAATTCAAACCTGCAACCTGCATGGACAGGACTCACTCTTTGTTTTCTTACCTGAACCCTATTAAATAACATGAATAGTCAGAAGCAATGTCTTCGCCTTAAAAACAAAAATAGCCCACATTGCAATTTATATCAAGACACTGCTATTTTTTCTATAGTCACTATAATATGATTTGACTTTTTAATATAGGAATATGTATTACATTGATTTATAAAAGTATTAAAAAAATCAATGAACCCCAAGGACATGAAGCACCACAAACATTGCTATAATACTTTAACTTACAAAATCAATTATCAACATCTAAACAAATGCCCAGATTCATGTAGGAGGAGCTTGGGGACGATCTCTAACACACCTTGCAGAGATCATTGTCAGGAAAGACTGTGTTTATTAGGAGCCCTATGGAGGGAAATGACTGCCCTGCAGCCAGGCCAGGAGCAGGCCAGGGGTGCCCCTCTGGAGGGTCACTCTCATTCAGTAGCAGCCCTCAGTGGTTTCACCCACTTGGCTGCTGTCTGCCCCACTATACCTTATACATGTCTTGGTTACACTCTTGTCACATTAAAATCATTTGATCATCTTGTCCACTAGTTTATAACTTTTTTCAAGGTTTGGGCCCTCTGATGTTTCTCAGAATCCCCAGTACCCAGTCGTCTGTGTAGCAGCCATTCAGTCTAGCAGCAAGTAAGATGATGGGCTTTGGCGTCTGAAAAACCTTTCATAGTCCAGATCTTAGCTGTGTTCATAAATTTTATATTACAGTAAGAAATCATGTTTTTATTTCTATATCAATGGACATGCATAAATGCTGCAGCTTCTATATAGAATGAGAACGTTTGGGAAATGCTTATGTGGTTCCTATACTCATTGGGGCCAAGCACACTATCCTGTATCTGGAAGATGTTACAGCACCCCAGAAGTGGATACTAAAAGCCAAATGGAACAAGGAAAATAGAATCACAGTTCTGCACTCCTCTGAAATCCCTCCATATTCCCTCATCATTGAAGAACAAGAATTTGGAACAGTGTTTTCCTGAAATAAAACCGTAATTTGAAACTAGAGATCTAAGTTAGGATCAAAGGTAAAACCTATGTACAAGCTTATGATAAAGTGATAGATTCTCTGATGAGCCAACAAAAAATAGGGTGGATTTTATGTGACCTCCAGTGTCCAGGACCTTCCATTGAAATTCTAGGTGCTCCCACCCTTTGCTACTTATGGGAAGTGCCCCCTGAACAGGGTACTTGAGAAAGCAATAAGGGGAAACTCCTGGGTATTTTATTGTGTTTGGGTTAAAGGACTCCTTTGAACCACCTTTAAATGATTTCCTTAAAAAAATAATGTAAATGAGATTGTAAATGGAAATTTCAGCTTATGAAAAGTACCTCAGAAACAAACTTACCCATAAATGCAATGGATATACTAAGTACAAATCCTAGCTATTAATAAAAGCAGAATCAGAAGCTCCTTTGTTCACAGAACATTCAGCAGATCTTCACTGGTTTGTGGTAATAGGGTCATCTCTTTTTATTTGTTTGGCATCTGTCTAGATTGGCTGATGCTTTGCAGGATTGCTAAATATTTTCAATGCCAGCTTTACGTATAATCAGTTATCACAATGGGATATTACTTAATATCGCTGAAAAGCAAAATAAAACTGTTTCATATAAAATGGCAAAAAAACTTGACCTTTACTTTGCAATTCGTGACCTTCCTCCATTTAGTGAAAGTGTGTAGTAATTAATAACACTGGCAACTTGGATAAAAGTTTCTGTAAGAAAGAGAAACAGAGTCATTGCACAATGTAGAATTCCAGATTAGCTGTTACACTGGATTACTCCAGCTTCTCATTTCTGTGTATCACTGTGGATAATTGTGTTTGATCCAAACTTGAAATATGAAATCTACGCAATCTATAACTAAAGTCTTCAAATAATTTTGTGGACTAAAACAATTTCTAGAATTTCTGTTCAACTGTTTTTTGGTTTTTTTTTTTTTTTTTTTTTGCAGAAAGAAGCCCCAAAATGTTGTAACAACCACTCTCCTACCTAGGTTCTTTAAAAATAGCATACTTACCAGTTGATGATAATGAAGTATCTACTTGAAAATTGATGAATCACTGCATAAATCACTTGTCCTCAGATAAGCACTATGATGGATACAAATAAATACTTTAGATCCTAAGAGAAATTGTTACTCAAATTAGGCCGCATTAATGAATAATTCATGTATTATGAATAATGGAACATTTATATAAAAATAATATAATTTTACCTATTTTATAAGAATAAATGAATTAAAACATATAAGGCATTCAGATCAGTTTCAATAAATGTCAGTTTAAAGAATGCTGCACTGTTCAAATTTCTCTAATACATTTTGGAACAGATGATGCCTGTGGAGTAATGCAAACCAAAAAAAATGCCATAACACTAAGTAAAATTAATAAAGTATTTTGGAAATATTTTAATAGAAAATATAGAATAAGAAGTGTCATCATTATAGTGAAAATAATTTAGTGGAACTTAGAAGTATCTATCATCCACAGACGATACTTGGATGAGTTGGACTTTCATTGTTATAATCATCTAATTTAGTTTTAGGAGGAAGCAGCAAGTTTTTATTCTTTTTCTTCCCAAAGTAAACATCCTCTTTCGCCATCTGGTGGCTAAAGACAACATTTTCCGTGTGGATGAAAACAGGTGGACTTTGATTTAAAAGCCAATTATGTTTAATGCTTCCCATTTATCTTATAGTAAAGATATGCATATTTTGAACCAATGTTAATATAACTGAGACAATTTTGTTCTAATGGTTCCCAGCATTATTTTCAAATAACCCTAGTTATAATATCTAATCTAAGATATTAATGAGAGCAACTTTAAAAGAATTTTTAAAATTCATTTTGAAAGTTCAAATTAAATATGGGTGTAACAATTTGCTTGAACTGAGTGTCCTTTAGTATAAAGAATTAATAAGCTGTTTATGAAAACAGGAAGATACAAATTTCTAAATGATAAACATAGTATATACAGTTAATTTCAAAAAGGTTTCCATTGGTTTTTACTGTTTTAACAATAGTTATCATATGTTCAGTTTACTACACCAAGGAGAATGGTGTATAACTTAACAGTATATGGTTTGTCTTCCCTATAAATATTTCCTTAAGTAACATTTTCAATGTATTTATTAGTGCATTTTATGTATATAAACTACCTCGTTTCACAAAAGAATTAAAAATGACAATTATTTAATGTTTAATTTCTTTATTTTTGCCAGAATAGTTTAATATTGAAACCCAAATTGTTATTTCGAGAAAGGGAAAAACAGAGAAACATGAAAAGACAAACATTTTGTTTAACTTATGGTATTGTGAGCAGTCACTTTTGTAGGCAACACTTTTTTTCTTTGTAGAAAAGAAGAAATAAAAAACAAACAGCACCATTAAAGAATGCATGATCCCTGAATTCTAAACAAAACACTGTCTAAAAATTGTTTAAATGCTGTTGCACTCAGTCGAATTTCATCAGGTATCAAAGCAAGCATAACAGTTTTGAATTGTAGCAGTCTCACAGAATCAACTGCTCCCCCTTCTGAGGATTTTACACACCTTGGCCGAGTTTTTCCTGTGGGAGTAATATATTCTTTGGTAGAGGACTGAAGGAGGGTTTTACTTTTCTGTATGCTGATATAAAATGTCTATGTATGTTGAGGGCCTGCACCCCCAATCTGTGTTTGTCATGCATGTTATGTTTGGGTCGATTTCACATTTTCCTGTTACACTGTAAGAGTAATACTGCCTTTAAAAAAAAAGGCATTAAATGGCTAATGTCAAACAGATGTAAACATTCAGAATACTGACCAAAAAAAAAAAAAAAAAAGATACACACAAACACAAATTTTAAAAAAGAAACTTGTACTGAAAAATATGAATCAGATTAGGTTTCCATGAAGCAGGGGGTGGGGGGGAATACAGCAGTACAAGAAAATTATGGCAACCAAGTAAAGCACTTTCTTTGAAACATTCATGAACAGTACAAATACAACAAAGTTTTCCTACCGTCTAAATTATTCTGCAACTATCAAATATAGTACAAAGCGAAATAGTATGTGCTATAAAAAAGCAGCTCCTTTAAATTATCGTAAAAATGCTTTTTGTTTGCTTTACAGTGACAAAGCATGAGGACTGAAGACAAGATTTTTATATTCAGTGATATTTTGGCTACATTGGCCCCTGACAGTCTGATGAGTTCCTTTGCTAGGACTCTTCACATTGTTCTCAAGAAACACAAATGGACAGTGACTCTGGGCTCTGTGTTCAGCTGGCTCACTCCCACCAGGCAGCTAGCACGGTGCTTGGCCTTGACACCAGAGAGACGATGCAACCCTCACCTTGGCTTCAGCTTCTGTAACCCAGGACTTTACCAGACCAAGGAGGAACAGAGGCCACAGTAACTTCCTCATTTAAAATGATGAGTGTTTGTAAAGAAAACCCGGCTGCAGCATCATGGGTGCTCACTCTTGACTGCCTTACGAAATGCATCGGCTTGTTTTGTATGTTTATTTTGAACGAGTAAGACTATCCAAGGTCTGGAAGTCAACTAAACCTTCTATAGCTCATCCTAGAAACACATAGCACCACAAAGTCTATATAGCAACCAGGCTCAACCTCATAGGTTTTTCAAGTTTTCTTTTTCAAACTAGACCTTAGCAGGGAAATATTATAACTATGGTGCCCAGTTTACCAACAGTTCTGCTATTCTCACTTGGGGGAAGGACATTATTTTCATTTTGAAAATGAATTTGCATCAGAAGGTTCTTATTAACATGCCCATCAACTACCTAAATGTCTTTGTACACCTCAGGCATATGCATATCGTATAGGAGGGGGATTAGGGAATAGCGGTTTCTTCCTTCCCCTGCTCCCAAAGTGCTACTTATGGAAATACATCCTTTCTGATAAAAAAAAAAAAAAAATTCCTGATAAGGATAGCATAGTGTCCAATAATCAGGATAATGCACACACTAAAATTTGCACATTACACCACAATAACCATGTAGTAAATAACATGTTCCATTTGCACATAGGCAGACACCTGTGGGAATCAGGAAACCAAGAACCTACTCACCTGATCCAAATATACTGGCTTTTGTATATATATTAAATGGACACTTGTAAAATATCTGGCCCACCTTTAACTTCTGAATTTTTTTCTTTCTTTCCATTATTTTTTAGCCCAAAGATACTAAAACCATATGTCAATATTAGGAATTTAAACTGATACCAAAAAAAACCCCCAACAACAACAACAAAACAGCAAGGGCATAGAAAACTTATGATCTTTGGACCTGGGGGGCTAGAATCCATGGACAATCAAAAATTGATCTCCCAATCTATTATGTGAAAAATCAAACATACAGAAGGACACTTTTCTTTATTCCCAGTAAGCAACTTGCAGGCAGTGTTCCACAGTGATGGAACTGATACGGGCTCAGTGTCACATCAGCCTCAATTGTACCTCACATACAGAGTGCAAAGGTTTTGTAGACTGGAGTTTCTTTCAACACCGTGTCAGTTACTGATAGGATAGTTTTGAATCTGCTGGTGTAGACAGCATCTGACACGTAGAGCAGCAGCTGAATTTAGAAGGAGTTGGCATGCAAGTGTCTATATTTAGGGATGCCCCTCTGTGAGATGACAGCATGATCTTCTGAACCAAGATGACATCAGAGCCAAGCACACCACCGAGACACCATGGACGAGGATGCCACCTAAACACAACGTGGAGCAGAGTGAAGCAAGGATCCGCCGGGACTCACACTGCATTCCTTGGGAAGGGCTGGTTAAGTGCATTGCTATTTTTCTCAGTTGTGAGTTAAGTTTGTTAATGTTAATGTGACACAGAGTGACAGTACTAAAGCACCAAATTGCAGCCACAGAGGCGGGCCCTTCTTTGCTTTTTCTTGCTTTTTAAGATAATGTATCTTTCACTATCAGCAATTTGTTAATAAAAATGACATCTGTTACCTAACAAAATTTGGCAACATCACAATAATAAATATGGAGGGGGTAAAAACATATACCATAGTTGATTACTATATAAAAACAAACAAACAAACACAAGTGTTTTGTTTTGTTTTGTTTTTTTCTTTTTCAGAATGTAATGTAATTTCTGTTCATTCCAGTTAATCTTTAAGACGTATTTTAAGGGAATGTCAAAGGTTTACATTGATTAGGACGATCTCATGTGAAAATATCTGTCATTCTCATCATGGAAAAGATGATATTTTCCCCCATGTTTTGTTTTGTTTTTGTTTTTAATTCTACAGCCTCAATCAATGGGTTAATGGCACTCCACATTTTGTGCTCTGTAACCGGAAGTTAAATGGCATGGTTTTTGTCGTCTTTCATCTTCCCACAATGTGCATGTGCTTTTGAACTTGCTTTAGGGAACAGAGCCTCCTGAACTAAAGCCGATCTCTGGCAAGTACATGGAATGTTGCTCACTTAACACTCAGAGTTGACTGGATAAACACTGACGATATTTGTAAGATGCAGTATCCCTTTTTCAAAAGCAGTTCCACTCCCCCAAATATGCAGAATGTACTGAGTTCACCTGAGGGGAAAGAAAACAAAACATGCAATGCCCAGAACAATATTTAAAATAAGGGCTGGTTCAGAGTAAAATAGAATTATATAGATTGTGAATTATGAGGAAACACTTGTTCAGAAAAATGTCAACATTTCAGCCTTCTGTAGTTCCTTTTATCATCAATGATACTTTAGAGGCGGCCAACCTCTGTACACCTGGAAGCCAGAGTGCGCCAGTGTCATCAATAAAGGTCTACGGTGATTTCCTCCCAAACTTTAATATCTAGTAATTGTATTCAAGGGAATGGACCAATATTTACAGTATCAACACATTTAAATGTTTGCATACACAGTATTTTTCTTGTTTTAACATTAGGGCTTTTTTTTTTTTTTTAATAGTTGCTCTTAAAGGCCACACATAAAACTCTGAAATCCTCTGGGCCTACTGCTCTCTGTTGGCCAACTGATCCTACAGTATCAGGTGTCAAAGGGCTCAAACCAGGTTACTGGGCATGAGGCCCACACTGTAATTTCCAGCCTAAGACACATTTCGTTACAACCTGTGTACAATGTCCAAGGCTGATGCAGATATTCTGCCACAGTCTCTGAAAAGAATAAAAAGGGAGGAGAGAGAATAAGGACAGTGGAGTTCATTAATGGCATACCTCCTTTAATGTATCTTTTGTGATATGAGTAAATACAAGGAATCAAACATTTAAATCAGATTCCCCTTTCCAAACATGATTCAATCACTGGGGTAAAGGCAGCTCCAGCAAACTCAACTGTGAAAACTCTTGCTTGTAATGGTTAATCTGCAAAAGAATGCATAACCCACCTTAAATCACTTTTACCGTTCTCTTTCTACATCTGTTTTTCTGGTTAGTATTAAGTAATTTAAAATGTCCTTTCCCTATCCACACCTGAATTTGTAAAAATCACCTGATGGGGTAGTGACCTTGTACACACATGGATAGAAATTTTCCAAAGTTGGGAATGCCAACTAAATGTGTAAAAACCATGCTGCTGAGCAAATCGGAGGGGAGGCGATCCCCCCTTTCCGAGAAACACAAGAAATTAATAATCGCGTGGAGAAAAGATGATCGGTTCCAAAGCAAAATAAATTAGCACAATATAAAGCACTGAGTTATTCAATTGGTTGCTGCTGGCGCCGCTTGGCTTTTCGGTGTTGAAAAGGGATACTGCATCTTTCACTCAGCTCTTACCGCACCACCAGGCAAGCCACACAGAGTTTTGAGGGACCTATGCAGTCGTCATGGCAGAAGGCCCCGCAGCCTTTGCACACAATCATGGCTTTCAGCCGGCAAGAGCATTTCAGTTCCAATTCATCCGCGTTGCTGCTGTCGGCGAAGTTCTGCACGGGCATCGGAGCATTCTGACCAGGCAGGCCCGTGGCCGGGTTGGAGCCGCTTCCCAAAATCCCAATGGACTTTTCAATGGCAGAGGCTGCCCTTTTGAAGCTCGTGCTACCAAAGTGTATTGTTGGATAGTTTCCACAGAGCTGCTGTTGTTGCTGCACCTGCATTTTCTGAGCAGCTAATTGGGTAAAAGGCTTTTGTGGCTCAGAAAGCAAATAGGAAGAGAAATCTGCATTTTTTAGCGCAAATGCTTTTAGCTGTTCTTTCATTTCATTCTGGTCATAGGAAACTTGTTTCATGCCCAGTTCACAGCTGCTGCCTAAACCTTCCTCAAAAGAAATAGGTTCCGACTTTATATTGCTACATATGCCCGTGGACTGTGGCCAACTAAGTCTCTTAGTGGTTTCCATGGTAACTGGAGGTTGTTTTTGATCGGCTGGGACTTCTGCGTTAGGAAGAGGTGGAGGTAGCGGAGGTGGGGGCGGGGGCGGCGGGGGCAAAGCCAAGGGTGGTGGGGGCGGCGGCGGGGGCGGCGGGGGGTGCACTAGCGCTTTGTTTGGCATTGCGTGCCCAGCCCCTCCTACGTCATCGCCTTCTTTGATGGGCATGTTGGGGGATAACATGTTGGCTAACCTTAGCTGGTGAGGTGCTGAAGAAACGCCCACCTCTCCCAGTCCCTTTTGTTCAAGATGCCTATTGAAGGCAAACGCGTTGCAACCCACTGGGGCCTTGGCAGAGGCCTGTAGCAGAGCCGCAGTGGGAAGGGGGCCCCTGGTCGCCATTGGCATTTGGTAAAACTGCTGTCTGTGTGAGGTACCAGCGTCGGGATGGAAGCCACCGTTCTTGTCCACGTGAAACAGGTTCTGCTGGAAGCTGCAGGAGGGGAGCAGCCGCTTCTGCTGTTTGACCTCAGGGCTGTGGACGATCCTGTTCTGCATGGCGTGTTTGCTCAGCCACTCTTGCTTAAAGGCCTGGCTGTGTCCTAGCTGATTCAGGCCCGAGTTGAGGACACAAGGCACGCCTTTAACATCTGGTTCCACCAACAATCTCCCCGGCTCACATTTCACTTGAGTGTGTTCCCCCACAGTCCTGGCCACTCTCTTTTTGGGGTGGTTTTCCCGCTTTCGCATTTGGAGGGGTGCAAGGGTCCCCGCTAAGTAGCCCTTCCCATCTGGGTTTGGAGAACTGGACGGCATCTCAACAACGTTCCTCTCTGGTGCTGTTTTACCCACTGAGGTAGTTTGAAGAGGCAGAGGAAGCCTGTTAATTTCGAGCTTGGCTCCTAATCTGGGCTGCGGCAACACTTTTTCCAAAGGCAGGTTGCCCTGTAGTAACTGTGTCACCAGGGGATTGTTCGCCTCCACTGATGACAGACGACAGCTTGAGCTCCCTGCGTTGGGAACTCTTTTTAGGGTGTCTGTGGCCAAGGAAATCACCTCTTCCATGGGAGCAGAGGTGGGGACCTTCACGTTCTGCGTCTGTGGCACACTAGGGGCTGCCTCTGTGGCTGGGGGTGGCAGCTCAGGGCCAGGGAAGTCCTCAGTGTCCATTCTAAAGACCTTGTCCACTTCATGAGGTTCGGATTTCACGGGGAGAGTGACACTGGTTATGAGATTCCTGGGGTGAAGTTCTGACATATGTGAGTAGCTGGCATGTTCCGTTTTGACAGCCTTCGGACAGCTCTGCTCTAGATACTCTTTCTGTTTACTTGAACCCGAGTGACTAACCAGAGGCTGGACGGTGCTCCTCATGCCCTCGTCATTCCAGCAAATCCGGCTGCCTGGGTTATACTGATTGCTACAGGTTGTGTCTGCTTCACTTTTGAAAGTGGCCGGGCCACGTGCCTGCTCAGCAAAGCTCTTAGTAGGAGCAGTGACCTCATTTAATTTATCTGGAACAACCAGGGGTACTTCTCGGAGACTGGTACAGGGGGCCTGCACTGTTTTACAGTCTTGTTTTACTGCAGAAGCAGCAATAAAACTAGAACCGTGATCTAGGCTTTCGTTTGCAACCGCCTCGGGCCTGCTAATAACAGACACTTGAGGACATGCCATGGGCTGTATGGCTGCTTCTGTCCTCACCGACCTGCTCTGGATGTCCAAGCTGGCTTCTGCACTTTCAACGGAGACAGTCAGAGACAGAGTGGAGGTCAGTGTGGTGCTGTGGTCAACGATGACTTTACAAGGAATTGATCTGTTTATGGCTGCTGGTGCAAAGCCCCCCGAAGGTTGCTGAGGTTTCCCAGAATTGTCTGCCCTGTTTCGAGGCCCTGAAGTTTTGTCCAAGCTTTCAGCACTTAACTTGGGAGGACTATCGTAAGAGTTTATTGTCAGCATGCTTCCAGTAAACATTGCGACGGGTGGGCGTGCAACCAGAGTGTCTGTGACGGCTACTGAATCCCTGCAGCTGAGGGCTGCTCTCACAGTGGTCCCCATGGACACGGTGGCCTGATCTTCACTCCCAGGCATGGCTATCTTCTCAGGAGGAAATCTGGTGTTAATTCCCGTTGGGGGAATCAAGACAGAACTAGTGGAGAGATGGTTTGGCAAGTTATTTGCAATGGAGGGAGTTGGCACAGAGGTGTACTGACTGGAGACCAAGTTACCAGCACTGCTGCTGGATATGAGCAACTGCTTGTCGTCCATGGAGCTTGATATGCTGGTGCCCTCGGTAGTGGCGGGAATGGTGGTGTTTTCAACACATTTTGGTATAATGGCTATGCATGGAGTGTCAGTTCCCTGGATGGTTTTCAACATGCTTATATTACAAGCAGGAATTGTAGTGTTTGTACTATCAACAGACATTAGAACAGAAGATTTGTCAACAGAACTCACAAAGGGATGTTCTTTAATTGCTCCCACCATAGCAGTGCTGCAAACAGACACAGGGACAGAATTTTTACTAAAAAGCATGGGCACACTGCTATTATCAGAAGAGGTAGATGAGACAATTTTCTCAGATAAATGGGACACGGGTACATTTTCATCAGAACTATGCACAGATAAGTCAGTGGCAGTTTCTGGAAGTTTAGCTGGGTTCAGAGACGGCTGTAATACAGTGGTGGTCTCCCGGAGGTGCGCAGACTTGTTGCTGGGAGATCTGCAGTTTGGATTGACAATAATGACACCGGTTGAACCTTCCATTTTTGTTTCAGGGGTAGAAAGAACTTCCAAGCTTGGAGAGCCTTCCTTGGAGCCAAGTGGAGGCAACCGGGACTCCTTAGCATTCTGGAAGAGGTGGGCTCGGGCTTGATGCTTTGCGAAGAGTTTCGCCTTTGTCTGCTCTTTGATATGTGCCAAGGTTCTCGCCTTTCCACCCTCTCCGGGGCTCCCCATGGCTCCAGAGACGATGCTCGCTGCGGCGGCCACAGCAGCCGCCGCCGCCGCCTCTCGCTGGGCCCTTGCTTGTTGTGCTCGAGCCTTGATGTCTGCAAGGGTCCTGGCTCCCGTGTTCCTCCCACCACTGACGGACGTGCTCGGGGAGGCTCGAGACTCTGGTTTGGAGACTGGTTGGCTCTTGATGATGAAAGGTGGCCCGATTTTGGAAAGCTGGATCTACAAGAAGGGAGAATGAAAAGATAAAGCGCTTGGTCCATGATCACAGAGGAGACACTTGGGACGTAACAATGCAAAGAAGAGCAGCTGCATGTTCTCATAAGGTGCAGGAACTACACCTGAATCCCCGACTGGGCCCTTAGGGTACAAAGGTACATGAAATGCCACATGAATGTGAAAATTAACAATTTTAATCTCTGTTTTTACTCTGAAAACATCAACCAGTGACTTCATTTGGCATAGAAATGAAACTCATCTTAATGGCTCATATAAATGGAAACAAAGTCCATGCCTCTTGAAATGAGGTTAGCTAAAAAGACTTAGAGATATTTAGCTTTTAAATTATCTTCCTTGCTGGCATGAAATTCTGGAACCTTTACTCTATTTGAGTTTATCTGTCTTAATTTGACACACACACAAAAGCTCTAGTCAAGGGATCAGGAGACTAGAATTCTCATCCTGACTTCATTCAAAGGAATGCTGTGACGCTAGGCAAATCACGGAGTCCTTCGATGTCTCCAATTAGCTCCCTGAGCCAGAGATCCTATGTGTGTATGCTTGTTTTATGTATCCTCGTATCGCCTAGCATGCTGCTTTATACATAGGTAATAAGCACACACACACAGTTTGTAAACTCAGGTGTAAAATGAGACTAGTTATTTCTGGTCTTTTTCTTCCCAGAACTGTTATAAAGATGGAACTCTGGTTTTTTTTGCCTCTAACAGGAAGTATGGGTTGGGTAGTTTCTTTTGATACTGGTAATCCACAATCTGCTGAATTTTGTAAATGTCCCAACCCACTCCGTTCACCTACTCATGCTAATTAAGAGATTTGTAGTTGTCACCAATCATGAAGCACAGACCTAACAACCAGCATACCATAGCAGTGCCTGTGAATCTCGAGTCACTGAGAATATCCTTAGAGTCGTAGATTTGTAGAGCTGGAAGGGATATGCTGACGTCTCACTTTACAGTTGATACAACTGGAGGTCAAGGACCACCTTGGGGCCATACAACACTGAGCAGCAGGGAGAGTCCTTGGGCTCCCCATTCTGAGATGCTGACATGTACTACACTTCCTCCTTTCCCCCCTCTAGAAAAAGCTTTTCCTAGAAAACATGTATCTCTCTTCTTAACATATGTATATTTACATTACAAATATACTACTACAGGATCGTATCAATTTGGAATTATACGTGGAAATTTGGTAGATGGAATTATCTTCCTGAGCTCCCTTCCTCATTTTTCATTTTCAAACTTGTCATGTCTCTCTTCTAACTCAAACATTCCCAAGAAAATATAACTTCAGAGAGGGGATGCAATTTTTCCTTTTCAATATTTCCCTTAGTTAAAAAAAAAAAAAATTAAAAACATTAAAAAATTTAAGCCAAAAAATACTTAAGACCTCAAGGCCAAACAACATCAAATAGACTTATAGCATCTACCTAGTTATCTATTTTAACATAAAGTATGTATCACTTTGAAAATAAGCTTCTGACAAAAAAAAAAAAAAATCAGACTGATGTGCTTAAAAATATTTCCTATAAAAAGCATGCTTATATTTTTCTTTTCATTGCTTCACACACTCAAGTGCATAGCAGTGTTTTATGTTCATCTTTTACATCTCTAGGGTCTCATTTACTAGGCACTGCTTTATTAAACAGAATAACTACTACCACACTCTTGAAAGTCAACCTTATGGAGATCATGAGTCACATATAAAAAGGTGTCAGAGCACAGCAAAATAAAGAGAAAGAGATTAAGAAAAACAAAGCTTGAGTATGTTTATAATTCTAGACCAATCCTATGATGAAATAACCCATTTTATTGTAGAACAATATAAATGGACTCAGATAAAAGCATCAAGTAAGTTTAAATTATAGTGGGTAGAATTCTTTTATTAAACAGTTTCTTTTGAATTAAACTTAATTTTTGAGTTTATTAGGCAGAGCCAATTTATATAAAAGGGTTTGTTGCCCAAGAGTTAAAATCTACTGGGGTCAAAGAAAATACTTAAATAGAAATGTTTGTCTGCAGGCTTTATTTTTTGTGTGAATTTAAATCCCCCTTTTATTATCTTGGAAGTAAAAACTAGGATTTGTATGCCTATATATCCACAGCATTTCCCTTCAGGGTTCACAAAGCAATTTCATTGATTTAAGAAATATTTAATGAGGCTTTTCCATAGCCCAGGTCCCTCTCTGCTGGGCAACGGTGGTGTTCAATGTTTGTTGGAAAATGAATGAAGGGATATATGTACCTTTATCTCTTTAGTGCATGCCTCTCTCCCTTCTGACTTCTTTCTCTAGTCCTTCTGAACTTTTAGAGGTCATTGAATTAGCATTCAGATTGTCCCAAGTTTATTTAGGTCTCTGTCTTACACCTTGGAATCCCCCAAAGACCCTGGATCCCAGTGGCCTGTGGGCAACTCCAGGCCCTGTGCTCCCTCCCCACTTCTTTTTCCTGAAATGCTGAGGTCTAAACACATACATGTATCTAAATTTATATGAGCCTAACGCACAGTCTTAAAAGGGATCATTTGCTATTAAATGGGTACTGGGAATATTAGATTATTAACTGCTACATAAAACCTGGAAGGAAGAGAACCTCATTTATCTTTTTTTTTTGAATCCTCACCCAAGGATATTTTTCCATTTATCTTCATATAGTGGGAGGGAGGGAGAGAGAGAGAAAGATAGATTAGAGAGAGAGACAATGACTGGCTGCCACCCACAAGACCCCGACCAGGGCCAGGAACGAACTGCAACCGAGGTACGTGTCCTTGACCGGAATTGAACCCATGACTCTCTGGTCGGCAGGGCCAATGCTCTAACCACTGAGCCAGGTTCATTTATCTTTAAAAAATTAAGTATCTACATAGGAAAAGCCTCTCTATGGAATTGCCTTTTTGTTTTCTCTCTTCTTCTTCTTTTTTTTAATACCATACCTTGAGAGGGGGAACCCTGGGTTCCTCTCTTGGCGGCTGCTCCTTCTCGGGTGGGCTGCTCGAGGATATGTTCCGAGTTGACTGGTCGTCTTCGATCCTCGCCCTCTTTTCCTTACAGATGCCAAAGCTGTGCTGCTCTGCGGTTTTCCTCTTTGATATCTCAGATTCTCTACTTTCACTTCTTACGCCATCAGGTGACTTGGAAGGCTCTGTCAACTTGGAAGTATACGGGGTCTCCAACCGATTCTGTGAGATCCCTTGTTTATGTGTTTTACTTCTGGGGCCTTCTGGAAATGAAGCCTTCTCCACTGGTGAGGCAAACTGCTGCTTGTCCTGTAATTTGGCAGATGGCGGCTCGTTTCCTTGACTCTCTGTCTCTTCAGAAAAGACAGGTAATTCCAATGGTGAAGATACCCCTTTCTTTTCTGTTCTTTGCAGGACATTCTGATTTTTAACTTTTGTGATTTCTGCAGAAGGAAGTTCTGGAATGGAAACAGCACAGGGCTTGTCTGTTTCAACGTGCGATTTACAAGGCTGCTGAGTCAGGGTCTTATCGTGTAGCTGCTCAGATGAAAATGCCTCAGGAGCAAGGGAAGCAGAATCCATTTTGATGGGTTCGGGAGCATTTGATAGAGTCTTCTGTAGAGAGAGAAGGCTCTCTCCCAGGGGCTTCGCAAGGGCAGAACCTTCATCTTTCTGTGGGGAAAGAGGTTCTTCAGATACGGAAGGTGACTTTCTTTGTTGATGCACCATTCTTTCATTCGTGGAGGAATTAGACATTGGAGATGTTTCCGAAGGAAGTGGCAGACTGGATGTCAAAGTGGTCTCAGATGTGAGAAGCACGGAAGACACTGAGGAAGTTTCTGATGTCAGAGGTAAATCAGACATGGGTGATGCTTCTGATGTTAAAGGCAAATTTGATACTGGGGATGCCTCAGAGGTGAAAGGTAAATTGGACATGAGTGATGCTTCTGATATTTCAGGGGACGTGGATATTGGAGATATTTCTGACATCAGAGATGCATGAAGGGTTTCATCAGTGGGATTTCTCTGATTATATTTGTCTGCATTCTCAGTGCTGGACACCTCAGAACAAAATGTTGTCTCAAGGGATGCTGGAGTACATGATTCTTCTGAAGTGGATTGGGTTTCCCCTCCTGGGGATGGCATGCTGGTACAGGCTCCCCCTGGGCTCTCAGAAGAAAAGGAAGTTTCAGAGATGCACGCATTTTCAGAAAGCTGTTCATCAGGATCGCTCTGTAGCTCCATATCAACAGCAACTCCTTCATTTGGAAATTGGCCTTCTAGAGAAGATGACCCTGTTTTCATTTTTGGAGTATTGGTCTCTATTGCAGTTTCTGGCTCCTTGTGTTCTGTGTCATTGACATGAGTCGCAGATGAAGTGGCAGGCACGAGAGAGTCACAGACTTCCAGTTGATCAATAACAACTGACATTTCTTCCTGGGGAGATTCTGATTTCTCTTCCACCTTAACTTCAATGTGAGGGAGCGTTTCTAGAACGTCATTCATTATAACACAAGATTCCAAGTTATCTTCAGGAAGTGCTATTTGGGGCTCTTCATGGGCACTGGCTGGAATTTCAGACTCCTCAGAAAATTCAGGTATTGTCTTATGATTTTCATCCTGACATTCACAGATACTAGTCTCTACCTCTTCTGCAATTTCCTCCTGAATCACAGATTCTTCAGGGATCAAGATATCCTCTGATTCTGATTCTCCCATGACATCTTTACCTACTTCGACCATAGGGCAGAGCGCAGCACAGAAATCAGGTTCTGGAGAAGATGGACTTTTCGCGCTTTGGGGCTGTTGTTCTTCTAAGGGACTCTGTGAAGAAAGACCTGGAAGACTAGAGGTCCCACATGAAGAACTGCTTTCAGCTCCGTCATTGCTTGGTCCAGCAGTGAGCTTTGTGGATTCCTCTCTAGACATGCCCAACCTGAAGAGAAGTTAGAAACGTTAAATTATTGTTCAACCACAAGACTCCAAAGGTACAACTTGGATCTGTCGCAAATATAGTATTCGATAAAAATAAATGCATCAAATTAACTTGATAATCACTAACAACATGCTCAATTTCTATAAATTAGTTTATATGACTTGGTTTTTCTACTTACTCTATAATCATAACTATTTTTGGTTAAGACTGGTATAGATTTTTATTCTGTAAATGAAGAGATAATTAACTTTACCAACTGTTAGTAAATGGAATAAGAAAATTACATACTACAAAAGATTAGAAAATATGGGCGGAAAAGCAAAAAATGTATAAGATCTAAAAATGTTTAAGTCATAGAGTAGAAACCTGTTATTAAAAAAGAAAATAACAACCTTCAAAGGATGCAGCATAACCAAATAATTAGAATCAATGGAAGATGGGTGTGTTGTAAAATCTTGAAATTGAAATGACTTCTGAACATTAAGTTCTCTTAAACCAATTAAAGAGGTGTTTGTTGTTCAATCACCTTATTTTAGAATCTAAGTATCAAACCTAAGACAATAGGGAAATTTCACTAACGAATAACATATTTGGGGTCAACAGAGTTGACTCTGATAGATTACATTTGTGTGAGGCAAGATTTAAATTCTTTCATGTAGAGGTCTTACTGTAAAAATATTCCATAAAAATGTTAAGAAGATTAAGAAGTAATCCAGCTAATGTTCGGGTGGTAAGGCAGAGTTAATCAGGATTACAATCAAAGATATTGTAAATCACTGTTTCCTGTCACACTAAGCTACAGCATCAGCATCAGACGGCAGAGGGACGTGATGTTCCAAATGCAGTTAAATTAGAGCACTACCAGCAATTACAAAGATAAGAAGAAGAGGGAACATTTCCAGAGGAAGAAACATAGTTGAAATATAGCTATAATAATATCCATGCAGAAAAATACCTCCGTGAAATCTTCAACCTTTTACTTAACTTAAATCCTCAAAATGAAAGGGAAATGAAGTTGAATACACTGTTTGGGTGTTTGATCATTGCCTACTTTACTAATACTCAGAAGGTTCTGACAAGAAAATAGAAGATGCTGCTTTCATAATTAGTCTCTTTTCTTCCAACTTTCCCTAAGATGGGGTCAAACTAAACTATAATTTATAACTACACTATACTGAGAGAAACAGAATAACTGCATTACAGATAAACATAAAGCAGAATTATCCGCTAGAAATAAGGTCCTTGGAGGCTAGGTCAAGCAGAGATACCACTGCTAGATACAAGATTAAGTGCAAAACACACAGAATCCAGTGGCAGCAAATTTCTGCGAGTTGGTTACTAAGAATATTATTAAATACATTTAATGTGATTACATATATATGGTGTGTATATATATATCATATATAAAACAGTACTGTATAAAATATGCCTATGTCAACGTTTTATTATTTTCATGGGAAACCAGATTTAAGATGGCATAAGGCATAGAAGGAAGATGTTTACAGCACACCACATAACCACACAAAGGAAAACCTTGCCCTCCAGAAATCTAAACTGCAAATCAACTGACCAACTCTTATAATTCCGAGTTAGCATATACATGGTGATTTCTAAGTAACTAAAACGAATATACAACAGTACTAATCACAAGCAGAGTAAGCCAAGAAGAACCATGAAGACCTCAAACTAAGAGCAAAACCAAAATCAGACGGAACTTAACTAGAGGTGAATCTGGATGGCAACATATTCGGGAACACTCAGAGGAATGAAGAGACACATGGGGTCAGTTAACTGGAATCATCTGATGCTGGGAACAAGTCCCTCACATATTGGGGAAATGTGGGTAATTCAAAATGGGAAGGGCAGTCAATGAAATGTCTAAAATACATCTGTCATCCAACATGAAATCAAAGAAGAAGAAAAAAAAAAAACAGCAAAAAGTCCAGTGACGTAAGGGCACAGAAACTCTATGGAAAAACTATAGCAAGAAAGGGGTTAAGTAAAAGAACTGTTTGTATTCCGAGCTCAGGGGTGAAAAAGGGGAGTCATATCTACTCACATTACTGTAGTTGTCAACCTCTAGGGCAGGGACCTTTAACCTGATCAATCTATGGGAGTCTGAAGTCCCAAATTTCATGTTAAAAAATGTGTGTGTGGGTGAATTTTTCTAAGAAGAATTTGCAGGATTAAGATTGAGCAAATTGCTTACCCATACTGTATAAACCAGGCAAAATTAAGTTTCACTGTCCCTCAGTTTTTGACACTATGTTGTTAAATATAAGAATATTAATTATATCCACCTTATAGGATTGTTGGGAGAATTAAGTGAAATAATATTTGCAAAGCTCTTAGAAACAAATCATAGCCAGAGCCTGCTCAAGGATTATTTGCTGAGTGAAGGAAAGCTACCAGTAATGCATGGTCTCCAGAATGGAGGCTTTCTGAGGGCAGAGCCTAGGAACCCGAGAGATGACCGTACCTTTGGTGTCTAGGATAGTGTCTGACACAGAGGAGAAGTTGGATAAACATTGTCAGACTAATAAAAGAATGGGCCCAACACTCAGTAATAACTCAGGTCCAATGTTGCCAATAACTACCTGCTATGCTTCTGCCAATTCTGAAAAGAGTGCTCCCAACATTCCTTTGGTCACAGGTGAAGGTGGGCTCAACTCCTCGAGACTCCCGATCAGTACGTTTGAGGTGGGTTCTGGAAATCTGTTACTTATTTTTAAAACTCCAATAAAAATTTAATACAGCCAGGCTTGAGTAATACTGCTAGTGATTATATATGAAGGCATGTAACTAGCCTGCCACATTTTAAATTTTTGCTTAAATACAGGGGTGGGCAATTACAGTTGTGGGTATATGAACCCCAGAGTTTGTTCTTGTATTATTATTTATTAGTTATTGTACCATTTTCCATACAAACAACTGTAAACCTACTCTTGCCCACCCCTGCATGTTTACGTATCCAAGGTCCTAGGACAGCAACGGAACACACGCCTTCCCACTCAAGAGCACTGCTTTAGGACACCTCACCAAAGGCTAGCCGGCTCCGGGTGAGGAGGCTGTTAGGCCTGTGATTCCTTTTCACGAAGAGCACTTATGTGAGATTCCTTCTGATGCAGTTTTCTCTGTTTACAGGAGGAATATGTGAAATTAGCAGGCTTTGTTAGCTGTATTTCCTCAGTATCTTTTACACAATATAACTTCCGAGCATTAATTGTGTACCTGGGAGTTAAAGGTCAACTTCCTCTACTAAGGAGGATCTCAAGTTACTGTCAGCTGTCAACTTCTTAGTCCCGCCTCCCTGCCTAGGGATCTGGTGGTCTCGGAGACTCTACCTCTGCCCAAGCAGAATATGTCCCTGCTAACCATGAAGCAATGAAGAAATACTTTCAATTTAGTTCAGACACTACCACACTTATGTGTGGCCACATAAAAAGAAACACATACAAATAAAAATAATAAGTAAAAAACTGGTCACACTCAAAGAGGAAGATGAATAGAATAAAGGCTAATGCCTCAAGCTCTCCCCAAAATAATGACAAAACAAATATAGGTGCACTGTCAACATTTCTGGAAAAAAAATGCGAGAATTAAATGTGTCTAAAACTACTTAGGTCCAAAGTATTCATTAATAAAACCACTTGGATTAAAAAAAAAAAAACCAGAAGATTTTTACTAAAATCCAGTTAACAAAGCTAAAATTGACTTCTATAGGATTTCATGCTGTTTTCAGTCCGAAATGAATTTTCATGGACAAGTTATAAACCCTTGAAAACGCATTTTTAATCATTTAAGTGCTGATATGCCACTATAATTTTACCTGCAGTTTCTTCCACTGAGGGACTATTGCCTTTTATCACAGGTTTATTAAGTTTTATAGCACATGAGTGTGCTACGTGAAGCAGAGAATTACATTTTCATTTCCTTCGAAGAGAAATGAGAAAAAAAAAAATGCTCTAGCACTTACTTTTCTCCATAAAACCTTTCAAAGAATTTTTCTTTCCAAGGTTCTGTTTTCTTTTCCTTCTCAATTTCTTGCCTTATCCGCAATTGCATTTCTGGAGTAAACTCTCCTAGAAAGAAAATGCTTATATATTGAGTAAAAGTGGTCACATCTTTTGCCAATTAATATAGAAAACATGTCATTAATTTGCTTTAACTTTTATGCCTGGTGAAAACTAAAACCTGCATACTGATAATATTTCCATAACTTCTCTTTGTATGAGCATCACTTCAATAGGCATTTAGTCACAGATGAACTCGAAAGCATTTAGCAAATGGACCACATGCTCGGGGCTGTGAATGAGAGTGTATTCACTGTCCTTAATGAAGTTGGTTTGGTGAGAGAAAAGGCATACAGTTGACTACAATACAATGTCAAAAGCCCTGTATAGGATACATGTAGTAACAGTATAGAAGGGAAAGCGCTTAATTCTGCCGAAATCAATTAGAGAGGGCCACATATAGGAACTAATTCTTGAGTTAGCTTCTGAAGAATGATCAAGCTTTTATAATTAACTCAGAAGGCACAGAGATATGAATATGTATATTTATGTTCTTCTGAGAGGCCGGTTGTGAGTAGAACATAGGATGAAATGAAATAGGAAAGGTGACTGAGGCCAGTTACCCAGTGCATGTTCTAAAGAGAGTTTCAAATTTTTCCTATAAGACACTCGGGAGGTCCTGGTGGTGTTCAGTAAGGGAGAAATATGGCCAAACAAGCAGTTAGCAACAGAGTGAAGAAGTTGAAGGACTCCACCTAGAAGCCTGCTAGACATCAGAAATGAGAGATGGAAGTTACGGTCACAACAGCAGCTGTAGGACTGCCAAGGGGACAAGGACTCACAGCACAATTAACATTCATGTCCAGATGGACCTGGGGAGAAGGAAGAGGGTTGAAGATACCATCAAGGTTTCCAAGTGAAGAGCGTGAGACCACAGTGTGATGTTAACCTCAGGAAGGCAGAAGGACGAGTAGATATTAAAGAGAAGATGGTGAGTTTATCACTGGCATTTTGGGTTTAAGGTGCCTGGTATTAGCTAGGGAGATCCGGTAGGCATCTGGAATAGAACACTGAGGAACAGGAAAGTGGAGTTAGAGCCAGATTTGGATGTTGTCGGCATATGGGCTACCGGTGATACCAAGATGAATGAGGCAGCTTAGAGATTATGCACAAATCACAAATGAAAAAATCAGGGAAAAGGAGGGTGAAGACGTTAATATTTACCTTTTGATGAAAGAACAGGAGGTCCTGAAGGAAGCTGATAAATGACTGTCAGAAATGTAGCATTAGAAGAGATTTTTAAATATAATATGAATGTCTACAGTAGACGGTTTCAGATTGGATGGGATAAAAAGCAAATGAGAAATTGGAGAAAGAACATGAAATGTAAGGACTAAGAAGAGGAAACTGGTCTTTGCCATTAGAAAGCCATCAATACTTTTTTTCCCAGCCGGTGTGGCTCAATGGATTGAGCATCGTCCCATGGACTAAGAAGTCCCAGTTCGATTCCCAGTCAGGGCACATGCCTGGGTTGCGGGCTGGATCCCCAGTAGGGGGCATGCAGGAGGCAGCCAATCAATGTTTCTCTCTCACATCGATGTTTCTTTCTCTCTCTTCTTCTCTCTCTAAAGAAGTCAATAAAAACATACTAAAAAAAAAAGGAAGAAAGTCATCAATATTTTCTAGGAGAGATGATTTCAATTGTGTATAGTGGGGTCACATCCAACTCTGACAATCCAAGTGCGTGAGGGAGTAAAATGTGGGAGGTGGCACTGGGTATGTTTTAGCCTTTCAAGGCGCTTGGGTGACTAATAGGAAGTGGAGGCTTCAAGGGAAGAAAGTATTAAAAGAAGATGCTCAATGCCCCAGGACATTAATAGAATATATAGTGCATCAAACAAGTAATTAAAATTAACACTTTCCCCCAAATCTTGCTATATCAACATTTTTATTATGTTCCAGGTAACATCATGCTTTCTTCAAAACTGCTGCATATCCAAAATGTCAAGTAAAACCAAAGCACTGGTGAAGTCATTTGGAATAGAATGTGAATTTCTTACTAAATTAAAGCACACTTCAGGAGGGTGAAAAGACTCGGAAACCGCAGAAAGGCGCAGAGCTCAGTACAGCACGTGTACTCAAACATGTCCAACAGTAATGGAAAGTAGAAATTTACCTTCTGCCAGGCGCTGTTTCCACCCTTGTGCTGCATATGCAAAGAATTCGTTATTTAGAGCTGAAGTACTGAGACGTAAAATTCCATCACTTCCCATCTAGGAAATAAGCCGACAAAAACAAGATTCCATCAGAATAACTCAAAGCAAACGCATGCAGGAAAGAAGGATGTGAGAGAGAGGCTGAAGGAAGAGAGGAAAAGAGCCCAACGAAAGATGCCTCCCCCAGTATGAAAAGTGCTCTGTTTACAGTGACTGCTATAATGACAACATACATCAATTTAAAGGAAATCATTACTAGGCATTTCCATTATTGGTGAGGAGTATAATGAATGTGTGTGCTTTAATCAAAATAAGTTTGATATGTTTATTATTCTAATGTGCCTTAAATTGTACCAAATTAAACATCAACATATGCTTACACCTTTAGATTAGGTTTTTTAAATAAAATTTTCTCAAGTGTGAAAACTAAAGGAATCTGGACTGATCACTTGAATTCCTTTGTTGTCAGAGGCTTAGACCACAAAGTTCTAAAATACATTAAAACAAGTGCACCCACACTATCATACATATCCCCGTACCCCTCTTTCTACTTTTCTCACCTCTTTGGATGCACATAAAATCAGGTATACAACAAAGATTAAAATATGTGCAATTACATGCTACTAATCTTTTCCCTCAAATATACTAATTTTTTGTTATTGTGAATCCTCACCCTAGGATATTCTTTCCATTGATTTTTAGAGAGAATGTGGTGGGGGGAGGAAGACACACACACACACACACAGAGAAAGAGAGAAACATTAATGTGATAGAGACACATCAGCTAGTTGCCTCCCACACATGCCCCAACTCGGGCTGGGGAATCAAACCTGCAACCCAGGTATGTGCCCTTAACCAGGAGTAGAACTCGTGACCCTTTGTTGCTCTGGCTGACACTCTAACCACTGAGCCACACCAGCCAGAGCTACACTAACTTTTCAAAAGCTCACATATACAAGAGATTCAGATAAGCATCACCATACTGGATGCTTTTAACTTTCCAATCGTTTACTGCATCTTCTCTGTTCATGTCTTCTGCCTGGACACAGGGGACAGAAAGAACTAGTTTTGTTCTTGACTGGCTTCTCATGTAGTTGAAAAGTGAAGATAAAACACATCAATAGTTAGACAATGCCAGTATTAGATAGGTGGGAATTAAGAAAAGCAAAAAATAGCCCTGGACAGTTTCGCTCAGCGGTTAGAGCGTTGGCCTGGGTTCGGTTCTCGCTAAGGGCACGTACCTCGGTTGCAATTTGTCCCCAGCCCTGGTTGGGTCGTGTGGGAGGCAGCCACTCTATGTGTCCCTTTCCGCGTTGATGTTTCTCTCTCTCCTTCCCACTCTATCTGAACAAAAAATAGAAAAATGTCCTCGGGTGAAGATAAAAAAAAAAAAAAAAGCAAAGCAAAAAATAAAAGGGAGGGGAAGATATCTTAGTGACCAGGAATGGTTAGGAAGGACTCGACGCCTGAGCTGACAAGTGCAGGGTGTTGAGAGACTGGCAGATTTGAACAGAGTAGTTTTAGGGATAAAGCATCTAGTCCAGTGGTTCTCGACCTTCCTAATGCCGCAACACTTTAATACAGTTCCTCATGTTGTGGTGACCCCCAACCATAAAATTATTTTCATTGCTACTTCATAACTGTAATTTTGCTACTGTTATGTCTTAGGCGACCCCTGTGAAAGGGTCGTTGGACCCCCAAAGGGGTCGCGACCCACAGGTTGAGACCCACTGCAGTAGACTGTCAGAGAGCGTGAACTGCATTGTAGAGGCAGGGCATCATGGACAATCAGCAACTGGACTGTTTATGAAGTTGTGAGGATGTTTTATTGTAGCCTGCTACTCAAAGGCCCTACAACTATAGCTCCCCATTTTAAAATCTAAGTCAACTAATGCCTTCAGGAATGTATCAGCTAAGACACCATTCAGGAGCAGGGGAGAATACTCAATATAAAAATAAATGTTACACTAACTACTCTATACTGGGTAATAGTCCATCAGATCCAGAAAAGAGTGACACTGTAACAAACGTGAGTTATGCCAAATGCTGCCATCATAACATCTATAGAAAGCCGCAGATTTGAAATCCTGTGATTCTTCATCTCAAAAATATTCATTTAAGTTTCATTCTAAGTTTTTTTTTCATCTAAGAAACACTAAAATATTCCGTACACTTAAAAAATTTCAGCATGGCCCTGGCCAGTTTGGCTCCATGGTTAGAGCGTCAGCCCGCAGAGTCATGGGTTCGATTCCAGTCAAGGGCACCTACCTCGGTTGTGGTTCGGTCCTGACCAGGAGGCAACCAGTTGATGTGTCTTTCACATGGATGTTTCTCTCTCTCTCTCTCTCTTCCTCCTTTCCTCCCTCTCTCCCACTCTAGCTGAAGATAAATGGAAAAAATATCCTCAGGTGAGGATTTTTAATTTTAGTATGATTTCATTCATTCATTGATTTATTGTTTACTCAATTATTTCACCTGTATCCGGCAGATATTTATGAAGCCACTCACAGGAACCGATATACCTGGCACCTGTATGGGTGTTGGCAAAACAGTGGCAATAAAGAAAAGGCTCCTTCTCCCCTTATGTTTTGAATATATTCCACATACAGCAGATGCTTCTGGTCTTTGTACATCTGTTCTACCCACCAGAGTCCAGCCCAGCTCTAATGTACAGCGATAATATATAACATGATCCGACCACAGCCTTCCCAGTCTCTGGTTGGACAATTCTAGGAAACTCTTCTCTGGAATGCAGTCCATGTACTGAACCCATGGGTGCTACTTGGGGCTGCATCCTCAAAAGCTGAAATGCAGAGGTCTGGGACCCAGGCACGGAATAAATGAACCTTTGTACGGTCACATCCAGGGGATCACTGGCAGACTGAGTGCTTCCCATCCCCACAGCTCTAGACTCTGTGGGAGTAGCTGTGCGTGTTCCCAGGGGGAATCGTTTCTCAACCTGGACAACAGTCACTTAGGTCTAGATACTTCTTTATTGTGGGAGTATGTCCTGAGCATTATAGGATGTTTAGCAGCACACCTGTCCTCCACATACTCAATACCTATAGAAACCCCTCCCGCAGATGTGACAATTAAAAATTGTCTCCAAACATCACCAGAAGTTCTTAGAGGCAAAATCATTCCAGCTGAGAACTAGCGGACACGGTAAGGGCTCCACTGTAACTATAGCTCTGCCTGGTTACCTTGTGCCTCCTAAGCCGGTGGATCAGCAGGCAAAGAGAAGAGTTACTGGGAAGGCGGTATAATCAGCCCTACTTACCACGAGGAAAGAGGATGCTACTATAATGTGTGTGTGTGGGGGAGAAGTATGCTGGGAACACTGGGGATTCATGGGACCTCACTGGTGCGTCCCTGCCCGGCGGTAACAGAGAACATGGATTATAGCAGTGATAGCCAGAAAGGGCAAGGCAGCCAAGGGCTCAGACTCCTCGAGGATGACAACCTGGGCCATGTCCCCAGGCAAACTAGCAGGAGTGCTGGCCGAGGATGAGGAAAATCAGAAATGTGCATCAGAGATGGGAGAATATAAACCTCAATTACCACCTCAAGACTGGCTCGAGAGTAGCAGAGCCTGCAGCTGGACCACTAATCCTCTGGTCACAAGTCTTTTTTTTTCCTTTCGAACATATCATGACCAGCCACTCCTTGAAGCGTTAGGGACAGAGCAGACTTCACAGGAAGCACAAGATGTGATAGGTACAGAGGCAGACTCTACTGGACGTCCGTGATGGCCCATTCCCAATCATCTGGCGTGCATTAGCACAGAGCGGCTGGGGGACGCAGTTCCACACACGTGTCCCTCCCAAGCCGATGAAGCTCTAGGACTTTTACTGCAGGCTTCGAGATGACATGCAGATATGGCCTGGAAACGCAGAGACTAGCCCTGGGGACAACTCACAATTCATGGGTGACAAGGGCCTGTGGTAAAAGGTCCCACTCTCCCATCGTCCTTCTGTGGCCCATTCTGTGGCTCATTCTATACATTTTCTCCAAGGGTCCTCAGTAGATCTGAGCCCCAGTTTTTCAGAAGGGTTCGCCTTTCCTTTTCTCATACCATCTCGTGCCCGGCTTCTGTTTCCAAGCCCCCTGCACGCAAGCTCTTCTTCCAGGCTCTGCTGTGGGAGGGAAGGAGCAGGGGAGGATTCTAGGGCACCAAATCTAAGTGTAGGCTTTATCCTCTCCAGGGGGTTGGCCTGATGAATACACGATATGGAAACCTGAGGCGGGGTTTGAGCCAGCATGAGGCCAAGATTAGTGGCATCCAGGTCCGAGTTTCCCCCTCAATTTACCTTATATGTTTATGGCCTTGTTCAGCGTGTTCCACAATGGGGGGAAGGAGGGAATCACTGCTCCAGGTAATGAGTGGGAAACTGCTAAGACAGTTTAAACCTGGGAAAATCCTAAAGAGATAATGCGTTTTATAAGATGGCTTTATTTGCTATGAAAAAAATGGAACAGGCCCAGGCCGTGTGGCTCGGTGGATTGAGCATCGCCCCATGGATGGAGAGGTCCCAGTTCGATTCCCTGTCAGGGCACATCCCCGGGTTGCGGGCTGAATCCCCAGTAGGGGCATGCAGGAGGCAGCCGATTGATGTTTCTCTCTCACACCAATGTTTCTATCTCTTTCTCCCTTCCTATCTCTCTAAAAAAATCAACAAAAACATATTTTTAAAAAATGGAATGGAGTGCAAAAGAGAGATGCAAAGACACTGCCAGAAGTATGTCCCTAAAAGATGATAAAAGAAGGCAAATCTGAGAAATACTTCAGATGGGGTGAAGGGCTTCAGGACTGAGGAGGTAAAGGAATTGGAAGAGTATTTCAAGAGACACTAAACACACTTGGGCTGATTCTGAGAGATGGAGTGAATGAAAAAGGCAGCCGAGCTGGAGTAGAAGTTTTCAAGGCTGTTATCAAGGATGTCTGGTAAACGCAATAAAGATGAGAAAGAAGACAGTCCAACTGAATGCTATGTCTCCAGGAAGTCTGAAATTTTCTGTGAATACTGACTCTGAATATTTGTCATTGTGGTTTGGGA